GACATCCGGATATGAAATTTTATATCTAGGTTGTGTTCCACGTTGCCAATAACTAAAACATGGTGTTTTTCAAAATCCTTACGTAAGTTTTAGCGATACTAATTCAGCATCACCGAAAAACAGAGAAATAACTAAATAGAAATGGAATGGCAAATTTCACCCCATTGCCCCTAATGTTTTTAAATTATATTTTTAAAATGATAATACAAAATTTGTCTTAATATTTATAGCAGCTGACGTAACGTAAATACTCATACAGCAAATCAAGGAAACACAAACAAAAATCGCACACACACACACACACACACACACACACACACACACACACACACACACACACACACACACACACACACACACACACACACACACACAGGCACACACACAAACAAACAGGTACATGTACACATACACACACGTACACACGTACATGTACACACCAGCACCCCAACACACACACACACACTCAGACACACACACACACACACACACACACACACACACACACACACACACGGGAATCGCAGAAGCACACACACACATACGGACACTCACACCGCAGCCACAAAAACAAATTATGTTGAAGCAGCGCCCGAGGTGCCACCCTCCGCTGCGTCCTGTTATTGATTCCCCGCGACACCTCGTCTGTTCCCCCCACCGCTGACATCCCGTAATGAACCGCACATTTGTCACGCTTCCTCCCGAACCCGGTCGTTAGAAGGGGACCGAGGCGTATCCTTGGGGTGGACGTGTGAAGGTTGGGCCACAGCAGCTAAATTTTATGGATGACATCCTCCGCAGACTCCAAATCTAAAGCGACAGGACGAAAAATACAAGGCGGGCCTACAAAAACAAGGTTCCTACATGTACATCTTCAAATTTTGACATCATAAATCTTCAAGTTGTTAAACAAGAAATGATACCTAGTTCTTATATAGTTTTTATTAGCAATACGTCTCAGTAATACACTATATATCAAGTGAAATGACTTTATCCTATTACAACCAAATGGCAATTTTGGACGTCTTACGAAATACACATCTTTTAGATTACAAATATCAGTGTACCCGAAGTTTTAAGATTTGTGATATTTTCGTTCTTATTTGATAAACGAAAACAACATTGTACTTGCACATTGTCCCCTCATAGCCTTCGCATTGGCATACACATCTTGGCGCTATTCCTGTTTGTTCCAATTCTTTATTATTATATCAACATTGCAGACATACATAACGTTGCCTGAATGACACTGATAGTTACAATATCAAAATAAACACATAACATTACATTTCGTTACATACATACATAAATATATACACATACTTCTATATGAACTGTACATCTCAGACATAACAGGTACCATTCTCATTATACAGTCTGATTGTAGAGTCTGATGGACTGATGTATTTGACGAATAAAAACTATATTCGCATTCCTACACTAAATTGCCATGCATATGCTTGCGAAGCTATGAGCACCGTGTTCACGAAGGCCATCTCAAGTTGTATAGAATATTTTCCTACCTAATTAAGGAAGCTGTCGTCTTCATCCCAGCCTTCGTCTCAGATCACGCGTACCTATCTGTGCGGAGTGACACTACAAGGCCTCGCCTCAGGTCCTTCTATTACCAACTTCCTTGCTTCAAAGTCACGCTCATAATCACGTGAATGCCGAATGCAAAAGAACAGAGGCAAAGACATTATTTGAAGTGCAATGGAGAAACTATGGACATCCTTGTGGTCACTTTTCAGTCCTTAAGTGTTGTGTAGTTAATTGCTCAAAAAAGGATACAATTTATGATCCTTAGAGTGTCTTGCCTCCGGTCCTTGTATTACCAACTTCCTTGCTTCAAAGTTACGCTCATTATCACGTGAATGGTGAATGCAAAAGACATTATCTGAAGTGCAATGGAGAAACTATGGACATCCTTGTGGTCACTTTTCAGCCCTTAAGTGTTGTGAAGTCACTTGCTGAATAATAAAGGACACAATCCATAGAGTGCCTTGCCTCCGGTCCTTCCATTAGCAACTTCCTTGCTTCAAAGTCACATTCATTATCACTCGAATGGCGAATGAAAAGAACGGATGGGAAGTCATTTTCTGTAGTTTGCTGCCAAGTACTTAAATATTTCATAAATTAGAGCTTAGATCTTGTTTCCTGGACTTAAGTGTAGTCCTTGTGCTATGGAGAAGATACAGACTTCCTTATGGTTACTTTTCAGTCCTTAATTGTAGTCACTTGAAAAAAGGACACAATTTGTGAACCTTAACGCCACGTACCAGCGAAGAATGTATGGAGTGTCTCGCCTCCGGTCCTTCTATTAGCAACTTCCTTGCTTCAAAGTCAGGTTTATTAGCACGTGAATGGTTGATAAAAAGAACGGATGGGAAGTCATTTTCTGTAGACTGATGCCACATACTTAAACATTTCATGAATTAGAACTAAGATCCTCTTTCCTGGACTCAAGTGTATTCCTTGTGCTATGGAGAAGATACAGACTTCCTTATGGTTACTTTTCAGTCCTTAATTGCAGTCACTTGAAAAAAGGACACAATTTGTGAACCTTAACGCCACGTACCAGCGAAGACTGTATGGTACTTCCAATAGCAACTTCCTTGCTTCAAAGTCAGGGACTTCTATAAGACTTTCAAGTCACGCACATTACTGTTACTGTTCAACCGTTAGATGACTAGAACCACGTTGGAAGGTCTCGTTTGATGCCATGTGGTTCATTAAGACTTACAAGTTCCCTCTTCTCTCTTGTCGACTGAAGTTGTTCTACAGAGAATATAGGGACTACCGCGAGATTGCTTTAAAGTCTTTACAGTAAAGTCTCAGCCTTACTGTATAGGCTTTAGATGACCAGAACCAGGTGGGAAGGTCTGCTCTCGGTTGATGCCACTTGTTTCATTACAAATGTTTGTCGACATACAAAATGCACTTATAAGTTCATGATAGACATCGAAACATAAGCAGGTGAGAACCTTACTGGTTGTGTAAGAAGAAATTTTATACCCTACTTATAAGTTCAGTTATGTTGCAGCGAGGAAATTTTCAGACTTCTTTAGAGTCCTTTCATGGACTTCTTTGAGATTGCTTTTTGTCACGCACATAACGGTAATACTGTCCAACCGTCAAATGACAAGAACTAAGTTGGAAGGTCCTCAAGAAAAGTTTCTCAAGCAACTAGACAAATTGTGGAAACTGTCAGACGTTTCAAGTAGCATCCTTTACTTTTTGTCAACGACTGGCGGAATATGTAGTTTAGCACGTGTTTATAAAAAAACTATGAATTAATATGTACATGAGATGAAGTTGGAAGGTATCTACCCTCGTTTGATGCCACGTGGCTCATTAGAACTTGTACTTCCCTCTTCTCAACTTCTGAAGTTCTGTCGTTAATTGTGCTTAGGAGAAGGCAACGGTTGCTGGTGTGCGTCAGTGGAAGTAATTACAAGTTCCTCAGACAGACTCTTGCATCATAAGTCTTAAGTACATCTCCTTAAGGCGTCGTCTTCTTTAATGTCAAGAAAGCGCTGTCTTACACTGGCGTCATTGCCAACCACAAGTTTTCAAATTGCAAAGAAACGTACTCGTATATGTGAAAAGCTGTACATTTGCTGTAGATTTTTGATAACCACAAGTTTTTAAATTGCAAAGAAACGTACTTGTATATGTGAAAAGCTTTGCAGTTGCTGTAGATTTTTGATAACCACAAGTTTTTAAGTTGCAAAAAAACGTACTTGTATATGTGAAAAGCTTTGCAGTTGCTGTAGATTTTTGATAACCACAAGTTTTTAAGTTGCAAAGAAACGTACTTGTATATGTGAAAAGCTGTACATTTGCTGTAGATTCTTGATAGGGCACTTAAGCATGTGTATGGCGTGCGTGTCTTAACAACACACAAGACGGCATTTTATCTAAGAAATAAGGGCAAAGGCTGCTCAGCTTCTTGGAAATGTGACAGGGTTTTAAAGAAGGTATCTCATGCAACTCCGTCAGACTGTTCCATTACTGCCCCTAGGGGGCATAGGTTATCCACTAGCGACCGTTTTCTCTTTGTCAGCCCAACTTTGCTGTTTTAACGTGCGTATTCTGACGCCAAGTGGGCATCAAAGATTGTTATCTGTAAGAGGGTCTAAAAGGCAGGCTAGCAAACATGTCAAGACCTTGTGAACTGAGGTTGTACGTAGGAGTCTATGTCTTGCCTCTATCGCTTGTTTAGATGTTGGGTTATCATAGGTTAAAAAGAGAAGTTGTCACTAGTCTATTGACAATATAGACCAGGGCAGCTAACAAGCATAACTTCAACATTTCCTTGTTATTTTATCGGTCTAGCACAGTGTACATGACACTTTGGCAAAATGCCTAAGGTTCTTGCACAATAAATAAGACCATATTGCCTTCTATGTTTCATTGAAGATAAACTTCAACACTTTCAAGCTCATGTCTAACAGAGTATAGTCAGACTATCCATCTTCGTTTCTTCAATGCTTTATTGTCAAAGCGTCTATATTTCTATGACATAAAATTATCCCTCCTTAGGTACAGCTTTCCATATTTACAGTTAATAATCTTGAACTAGAAAGGTATTATTTGCAAAGCAAATGCATAATGTTTACCTTCGCATATGGTCTGCTCTGTTAATTCTTACTCAAACGCATTCATATATATGGCCAGACAGCAGGAGTCTAAATCCCTCCTGCTATTAAATTGCAACATGATGTAACCCTACACTAGTCACCATGGTGACAGGCGTCTGTTTCAAGGCATTGACCTTATAGGCTTTGAGAAGAAGAAGAGGAAACAGAGCAAAAACGATATGTTTTCCTTCGGTAAACATAAATATCAAATTTGGGCTTCTGATTTGTAACTGGCATCTAACTACATTATAATTACGGGGAATAATTATTTGCACAAACAAACGTTTAGAGTAGCAAACCTCTACATCAACAACCTCTATATGCATATATGACAGCCTTAAACAGCTATAGTTTTTTCTATAGTTCATCTTCATGCCCATGTCTTTTTATTTCCAATGGCTCATCCATATTCACGATGAGGTGATAGTAAAAGTTCATGACCCTTTCGTAGTTCTGCACAGATATCCTCTCGTTCAGACCGTGGAATCGTGGTAGATCGGAAGGCGTCATGACATATGGGTTGAACCGGTAGATGGCGCTGCTGAGGCTCCAGTAGTGGCGTGTGTCCGTGTTGGCTACCATAAATGTGGGGGTCACCAGGGCATCAGGGTAGATCTGTGTACAACATTTCGATAACATTACATATACTATTGAGAAAAATGCACCAGAAAACATTTACTCAAGCAACTAGATATATTTTGAAAACTGTCATTACTTTCAAGTTACATGTAGCATCCACTACTTTTGGTCAGTAAATTAGTGGATGCTACTTGAAACGTCTGGCAGTTTCCAAAATCTATCCAGTTGCTTGAGTAACTGTTTTCTTGTGTATCTCAACCTGGATGTCTAAACCTTATAGACGTAACTAAGAACTAGAGAAGTAACATTTGCAAAGCAAATGCATAATGTTTACCTTTGAACATGGTCTGCCATGTTAATTTTTACTCAAACACAGTCACATACATGTACTACTAGTATATGGTGACGGGAGCAGAGCAGACCATGAGATTGCAACATTATGTAACCCAACACCAGTCACCATGGTGACAGACGTCAACAAATCATTTCATTGGTCAGGTCATAGGTCACTGTTTGGAGAAGAAGAAGAGAAAGAAACAGAGCAAAAACAATATGTTTTCCTTCGGTAAACATAAAAATGCTCTACGCATGCTAGTACGTTGGAATGCCAGCCTATTCTGGTATAATATACTATCAGGGTCTTTATAGCCCTTTGAATATGTAGCATGCTAGCAGGACGAAAAAACAGTACAGTAAGAGTACAGAAACAGTACATTAAGAGAACAGAAACAGCACATCTGAAACACACTACCTGCTGAATAGTCTTCTGTAGCAGCATATATGTGGGAGAATCCTTTCCGTAAGGTGACGTCGGGGAAGGTTCCATGTTGTTGATGACATTGAACTTGACCCTGGGATCATTGATGACCTTGCGGTCAAATTCAATTACTTCTTCCACACTTGAACTTGGATGTATCCGGTGGTCTATCACGGCCGTGGCCTCAGGAGAGATGACGTTATCCTTGACCCCAGCGTTGAACCGCGTCAGAGCGGTCGTCGTCCGAGCGAACGCGTTGGTCTGCGGCTTCTTTGAGTACACCCAGCCAACCAATGGGGAGAAGAGCCAGAGGTTAGAGGTCAACATCCGGTAGGATAAGGTCATCTCCGTGGCAACGTACTCCAACATCCGGGTCTCCGGGCCCCGTGCCCAAACNTACTTAAACATGTTGGGAT